GGGCTGTTTTTCCTGCGCACCCAGCTCGAGCCTCCGGGGCCTGACAGCATCCGCGGAGCAGTGCTGTGCGGGGACCTGCCAGCCGCGCCGCTGGAGCACCTGGCCGCGCTCTTCTCCGAGGTGAGGGTGGGTCGTTCGGTGGCCCCGCGCCGGCTGCTGCTGGGGTGGGGGTGGGGAGGAGGCGGGGCCAGAGGGAGGGCGGGGCCAGGGAGAGGAGAATGGAGCTGAGTCTGAGGAGTTGCGATTAATGTGCGAAGGCGGCACCGCGAGATTAGAGGGGCGGAGCTGGCAGGAAACTGGGATCCCGGGCTGATCTCTGAGACTTGGTGGCGAGCTGTGAAATGAGAGCTGGGGGAAATCTGAGTAGGGGTCGGGTCAGAGCCAGTTCGTTATGGGGCTAGGACTTGCTTCAGTCCTGGTTTAGGTTCACGCCAAGTCAGGGAGACGCTGGTCTGAAGAGGGCCTGGGTCCTGACCTCTTTTCGAGGCTGTGTCTGAATCCCTCCTATCCACTGGCACTGCAAAGGACAGGGAGCGGTGGGCCAAGGGGCGTTTCCAATGGGTCAGTGAGGTGAACGAAGGAGGTGAAAGGCTCTAAACAGCGTTTACTGCTGGAGAAGAGTTAAAAAGAAGTGGTTTGATTTTGATTTTTATCTCATTCTTGAACGAGAGGTCAACCTTGTGCCCAGATCAGAAGTTGGGGCATCCAGTTGGAAATGTCCAACAAGTGTTTGGAGGGGTTTGCCTGGAGCACAGGAAGGAAGACCTCCGGGGATGTGCATTATGGAGTGCTTTGGTGGCACCACAGCAGAAGCCTCCGGAGTGCAGGTGGGCTCAGGAGAGATGCTTGGGACATTTAGACCTTTCTGGCAGTCTCCTCCCTGTAACCTGCGTGTGTGTGCTTCTGGAAGCCTGATGCCCTGGATTCTGAAGGTTGTGGAATAAGTATTTATTGAGTACTGGCTTTATGATGTTTCGTGTGATAGGTGCTGTGGGGAGCCACCAAAGAAATAAAGACAAGATCCCACCCATGGAATTCATCACATATATACTTAAAACTGTATGTGACTGCAGTGGGGACAGAGCTTACCTAACGCTGGCCCCGTGCTGGAACTGGGGCCTGGAGGCTCCCTGCTATGTCAGGTGTTAGGCCTTTGGTTGCTTTCTTAGAAAGGTATGGGGAGGGGGGATTCTGGAGAAGGTCTGGGGTGACAGAGGACTTATTGTACTCAGCAGAATGTCCTCAAGACAGTTCATTCTCAAGGTAACACATGGCAGATTTTTTCCTTTTCAAGGCTAAATAGTATTCCATGGTATGTATAGACCACATTTTCTTTATCCCATTCACTCGTGGATGGACATTTAGGTTTCTTTTATTCCTTGGCTATTATGGATAATGCTGCAATTTAAGATAATTTTTAAAAGGTGTAGTATGTATAGTATACTACTATGTCTGCTATAAAGAAGGGAAGGAGGGAAGGATGAAGGAATGAAGGAAGGACATTCATGAACAGAGTAATCCACAGGCCAAAGGAACTGGGTGACTGAGGGAGGTAAAGGGGTAGGTAGAAGACTTACTTTCTCCTGTAAAGCTTTTGTACTTTAAAATTTTGCACTACATAAATGTGTTATCTATTTAAAAAATCTAAATAAAATTATCTAAAAAATACCTCCAGGCCTTCATTTGCATTTCTTAAAACCTCTAACAGCAGTCCTTGGGCCACATAAGCACTCCTCTCCCACCCGCTTCTTTTGAACATCCTGAAGCTGATCCAGGGCCACTTCAGGACCCGATCACCTCCCTGAATCGCTGCCTCCCTTGTGTCCTGCCCACCCTCATCTCCACCTGTGGATCAGTTCCTGGCTTAGTGCTCCCCTCTCTACAGAGCAGCGCTAAAGCCAAAAATCCCACCTGGCTGAGAGAAGTCTTCCTTGTGGGGAGGTGAGTGGTGTTAATGAGGGGGTGAAGCTATAGATCTTTGTTTTTCTCCCATTGCACTAGTACAAGGTGAAAAACAGATGCACGCAGGAAAATGTTTCCAAGGAAGAACTGACAGAATTTAGGAATCAGTCCTCCTGCTCCCTTTCTTCCTCCTCCCAGTCCCTTTATTCATTGCGCCAGGTTACTTTTCCTAGAGCACTGGAACTTGAATGCTGTTCTGAAGTTGTTTTGAAGTGAGACTGTCACCTTTCCTGTCAGGTGGACCCCCAGCTGGGTCCTTCCTTTGCCCAGTGCCGCTGGTGCCAACTGAACAAAGGCAGGTTCAGCAAAGCAGCACAGAAACTTTACTTTTTTGATGAGGGAATGGAGAAGGGAGAACTCATGCTATAAACACACCACCTTCTCCCCGGGCAGCCAGAGCGGAGTCTTACACCGGGCGCGGTGACGTCAAGGGCAGGGGCGGGGCCAAGAAGTACGCTTGCGCAGAGCCGCCTGCGTGGCCCACGCCTCTGGGCGCGGCTTTTGGGTTCGTGCGAGATTCCGCGTAGCCATTTTGGAACTTTCTGGTTCCTGCTGGTTTTGCTAGTTTTGCTTCCTGGCCGTTTCTTCAGCTTTCTGCCTTAGTTCCTGCTGAGCAAGTAGAGCTGTGGGTGTAAGCATGTGCTGTTGAGGGGAGGAAAAGGGAGGGTGTAGGTTGGTTTTCCAGTGCCAGGAGCGTGGGCTTCGGAGTCTGGGGAAGCCGCGTTCCAGTCCGTTCTGTCAAGTTTGTCAGTGTGGTGGGAGCAGGCTAGTTCACCTCTGTCAGGATGGAAGCACCTGGCAGGCTTGTCATGAAAATTTAAAATAACTTATTAGAACACCTAATACGTACAGAGTTTGTTAGTGTTACGGAGTCCAAGCTCCTACTATACCCTCCCACCCACACCCCGCACCACAGGCCAGTGAATGGAGAGAGGATGTTGGGGCCAGTAGTAGCCGCTTCATTCCGAAATCCAAGGGGAGCGGGTGTGGCTGGTTGTTGCAAACTTCCTGTTGCCAGAATCCCTCGTTCCTACTGCTGTTTACGGAGGTCTGGTCACACTGTTACTATAATCCTGTAACAAGATAATTGTTATTTTCTGTTTGTATTTTTTAATTGAGGTTATAATGTGTCCATTTCTGCTATACAGCATAATGTCTCAGTCATGCATATACATACCTATATTTGTTTTCATATTCTTTTTCATTAAAGGTTAATATAAGATATTGAACGTAATTCTCTTGCTATATAGCAGAAACTTTTTAAAAATCTATTTTTATATATAGTGGCTAATGTTTGTAAATCTCAGACTCCCAGATTTATCCATTCCCACCTCCTTTCCCTGGTAACCATAAGATTGTTTACTATGTCTGTGAGTCTGTTTCTCTTTTGTAGATGAGTTCATAGTGTTCTTTTTTTTTTTTTTAGATTCCATATGTGAATGATATCATACGGTATTTTTCTTTACCTTTCTGGCTTACTTTGCTTAGAATGACGATTTCTGGGTCCATCCATGTTGCTGAAAATGGCATTATTTTATTCCTTTTATGGCTTAGTAGTATTCCATTGATACATATACCACAACTTCTTTACCCAGTCATCTGTCAGTGGATATTTAGGTTGCTTCCATGTCTTGGCTTTTGTATATAGTGCAACTTTTTATTATACCCTTAAAGGTCAAGCTTGGGAGGCAGAACCTGGAGAAGGGGGTGTCATGTGTATTTGAGGCTTCAGGCAACCTTCTTTTACAAAGGCTTAGAGCCAGCTTGACTGAGACAGGCAATGAAGCACAAAGGTTAGAGCCAAAGGAATAGATCCAATATGGAGTCAGGTTTGTTCTTCTGTTACATTAGTTGTAGGTATTTCCTAAAGGACAAGGATTATTGTCACTCTGCATCTCACTTAAAGGCTTCCTCACTTCTCTGACCCATCCTTGTCACTCTTCTCTAACCCCAACCCACTTCTCCCCAAAGACTCAGCTGTCTCCCTACAGCCCTTCTACCTCTGAGCTTGGAAGTGGGACAGGCGTCCTTGCTGCTTGCTGCTTCTAGATCCATGCTGAAAAACATCCAGTTTGAATCTCATGCCATTAGACAAAGCCACCTCTCTCCTCATTGCACTGCCCTCATTTCCCCATGATTGGGCTCCTGCTCACTGTGACTCTCTCCAACATTGTCTTAGCAAGTGGCTGTTTCAAGAGACAAATAAATTAACCCAGCCTCTGGGCTCCTTGAACCTTCCTCCTCTGGTGATCTTGTCCCCCTTCCTGTCTTAACCACCCCTTCCTGCCCTCATGAAGCTGAATGAGGCTAGAGAAAGACCAACTGGCTCCACATTCATGACCCCAAACCTCTAATTTTATTATCAGGCCTTTTATCACTTCCCAGCTGGCATCCCATACATCCTATTCCAGTGATTCCCTTACTCTTTGAGGTGACTGTTGCACACTTTCTTTTTTTTTCCCGTCAAATGTCCAAAATCTTTTCGATCAACCTCAATCTGCAGTGCTTTTGCTTCTTACTTGATTAAAAAAAAGGAAATAATAGAATAAAATTTCCGCAAAAGCTGTAAGCTTTTGACAGGCAGAGGTTCCCCATCAGAGGCACGAATTACGACTTTTAAAGTGGCTTGTAGTAGAAACCTCAGTGTAAATCAGCTCAGAAAGTTCAAGAGCATCTTGGTGCAGGAGCTCAAATGATGTTATAAGACTTGGTTTTTCTCCATCTATAAACTCTCCTTTCTGCATGTCAACTCAATTCTAAGGCTCCAGATGGTAGTACAGGGGCCGCCAGTTGTTCTGACTCAAAGGCAGAGAAAGCTCCTCTTCCTCATAAAGTCCAGATAAGAGACTTTGGTCTGACTCACTGGCTCAGTTTGTTCACGTGTCCACGCCTGGGTCTGGAGATGAGTAGTAAGAAAAGAGGGACTATGTTGGGTGGCCAACACCAACTAAGGTCCACCCCACAGAAAGATTCAAGACCCTCAGCTAGACTTATTTCTGTAAAATGCCCCCTCATACCACCTGTATACAGAGGGCCATGCTTACCTGCACGTGTCCTGTTTCTTCCCTCTTGGCCTTTGCGACAGTTTTGATCACCTTCTGTTCACCCTGTTGATGAGGGAAGGATTCCTGTCCTAGGGTTCTGGACATGGCTATACACACGACACGGGACAGATGAGACTGACAGCAGGTTGTTGGCACATACACTCACAGCCCAGAGGAGAACACTGTGCCAGGCAGGACCACACGGGAGCTGTGCTTGGAAACAGTGAACCAGCAGGGGCTGTGGGAGGCAAGCTTCGTAGTATCGAGAGGCTGTGGTGCCCACTGGTTCCTGCAGAAGGATGGGATTGGCTTGTTTGAATATTCCACTGGCTGGCAAGGAACTGAAGCCCACTACTCAGGGTTAAGCAGCAGCTGTGCCTGGTTCCCTTGATAAGACGGCTGTTTGACTAAGGACTTTATCTGCAGGAACAGAGTGGGTGGGAACCCTGTGGGTAGGCTACTCATGGCCCTACCAGTTGTCGAGGCAGTACATAATGTTGGTGATTAATAATTAGGCCTCACAGAACAGGGACCTGCAAAAGGTTGTGTATATAGCTTTCTGCACCCTTCTTCGCAGAATAGTCTTTCCTTAAGGACTCAGAAGTAGAATGCCCACTTCTCTTTTCTGTGCACATCTGTTCCAGGTTGTCATCCCAGTCTTGGCCAATGAGAAGAATCACCTCAACTGGCCTCACGTGGTATGTCAGGATGTCCGGCGACACACCCACAGCCTCCAGTGTGACCTCCTGGTTATCCTTGAGCAAGCGAAGGGGAAAACTTTGCTGCCTCTTCCAGTAGACTCAGAAAAAGTGGAGTTTGTGGATTCTGAAAGTGAGACCATGTAAGTACCGCCAGCCTGGCCATATGGGCCTCTGAGATATGGGAGATGCTTGTTTATCTGAATGTTTTCCTTACGACTTTTCTGTTCCTGACTCTGCACATCTCCTTGTTCTGCACACAAACCCACTGTCTGCTCTGTTTGCCAACATCCTTGGACTGTTATGTTTTGTGCTGATTACTACCCTTGCCCCGGTTCCTCTGCCTGAAGTCTTTTAAGGCTATCATGGAAACATGGCCTTTTTTTCTGCTTAGAATTGTTTTAGGGCTGAGAGCAGCCACACTGATTTCAGTATTTTGCTTATCAGGACAGTGTCTCATCATTGGCAAAGACCCAGGTCCAGTCTGGGAGACAGCACACCTCTTCCCAGCATTTACCCAGCACATAATGTCACAGTTCCAGACCCTCCTCCCCTGGCAGCTGGAGACTTTTTTCAGGTCCTGGGGATTTTTTTTTCCCAAATAGAAACAAATCTGGCTTTGTTGAGGCTTGCGGTCTATGCCTTCTGTGCCTGGGTAGGCATTAAAGCCCCAGCCTCTTCTTGTATGAGCGATACCCGCCATCAGCTTCCACTTACCATACCAGCGATGAGCCATCTTTGTTTCTGTCCTGTGGGGATATTTTTCTTTTTCTTTCAAGCCAGGCTGTGTATCTAAATGATACTTTTCAGTCGTCTTCTGTCCAGCATTTCTTTGTTTGTGGCAATAGGCTATCTTCCTACATGAGCTCAGTCTACCATATTGCTGGGAGTTTCTGAATGTATTCTGGGGCATATCCAGGGCCCCTGGTTTGATCTGAAGAATAAGTAATGCATGGGCTAGCAGTGTGCTTTATAATGAGATTTTGCTATTGAAAGTAATTTGCTACATATATAATTTGAGGCAATTTTCCAGGTAACTAGAAAACTCACCATGGTTTAATAAAAATGCACAGTTTTCAAAATAAATAAATTCAAATTGCCTTTTCCCACTGCTTTTTTGACATAATAACATTCAGTGTGTGTGTATATATAATCATTGCTGAATTTGTCTGTTCAAATTTGATAATTTCCCAAAAGGTTGGATCGTATTTCAGGAAAGTGAGTATCTTCTCCCTTTAATACAGTCCATAATCACTTGTGCCGTATCATTGCTCAGCAAATATGAATTTAATTAAATGACGTGAAGGTGGGTTTCTGGCTCAAAAGTGCAAATGATAGATTCTCTTTCTTTGTCACTTGTGTCCTGGGTTCTTGGCATGAACAACTGTCAGTTCAGACTTTATGAAAAGGCAACCAAAATGTACTTCTGATTTTTAATCCCCTCCAAACTTCCCTAGATAGTTATTTAGTTAATTTGAAAGGTGTATGAGGGGAAATGTGTGGGAATTCCATTCTTCACTGGAAACATGAGGACGAAGCATAGTGATGTGCGGGTGTCTGATGGCTGGCCTTGTGGAGGAGGGAGTAACCTAGTCTCTCTTGCTGCAGAGGTCAGAACAGAGACCAAGTCAGGGAATGGCAGGGAGGCAGACGGGGTTCAGTGTAGAGACAAACTCCTGGGGAGAGCTGACCTGAGGAGTGTGCTACCTGATCAAGTAGGGAGCCAGCTGGCATCAGTGGGACTCAAGCAGGAGCTGGATGGTCATCTGGCTGTTTTCTGTCCAGTGTGTTCCTGCACTGACAGAAAGACTTGATAGGATTCAGAGTTCTTAATCTAGCCTTCACAGTATTGGGGGGGGGGTGTTGAATTTTGAGTAACTGTGCATATGCACATGCATAAGAGCTTGTCTGGGGTGAGGATCTGTACTTCTCATTGACTACTCGTCAGAGTCTGTTATCCAGCCAAGTTAAGGATGCCTGAACTAAATTGAATATCTCACCTATTTTTAAGAGATTTGGGATTCTGTCTGAGGGGACACCCAACGTTAAGCTCTTTCTAGCGTCCCAGGAGATTTGTGTCTTTTGCAGCTTGGAGTCTACAGATAAGTCGGTCATCTATGCCATTGAGTCAGCAGTAATCCAGTGGAGCCGCCAAGTCCAAGTGGTGCTCAAGAGAGAGTCTTCCCAGCCACTCCAACAGGGGGAGAATCCCACCCCTGAGGTGGAGCTGGAGTTCTGGAAGAACAGGTGCGCGCGTGCTTGAGCTGTGGAGATCAGATGTCTCACCGAGGATGCTGGCCTGGGGGAGGCGCCCATTGCGTCTGGTCCCACCTCCTGGTGTTTCTCACCGCCCCTAGAGCAAACAGCTCAGTGTCATTTCAGTCAACGTAATTTTTCTGTGCCCTGGGAGATGACACTTTCCCTAAGGTTCAGTAGTCATGCCTCATTTCTTGGGCTTCAGTCAGTGTGT